TTACCTTAAACGATCTAGCGCAAGTAATTACTTCCGATATTATATTCTTTGATGATGATATCAAGATCTGGCGAGCGATAGGGGAACCTGCCGGCCACGGGGTACGTGAGTTTGAGCTCAACATAATTTTGAACTGGTTAGTTCCAATTGGCCAAACCTTTAATTACGAAAATTCCTGCGCTGTTCAAGTACGCCATAGTCATGGTTACTTGTGTTGGCTTGGATCATACAAGTTGCAAACAACTTCTCAGGAATGCGACTTTGGTGTGCTCATACAAAACATTCAGAGGCAGCTGCGAAAGATGCAACCAGCATGCCCGCTTCCAGGTTTTGTTGTACAGGGTTTTCCGCCTTCTTTGGCTTCTTTGCGCAACTTAAAAGTCAGTTAAGTGTAGTTAAAGAAGTGGAAAACACGTTGCTTACCATAGAGCAAATCAGCGTTCGGTTGCGAAAATATTTCAAAGTTAGGAGTGAAACGTAAACAAGAGTCGACTAGGCTATAGAGTAGGTGAATCGGTTTGAATCGGCTAGCAACTGGATAGTTAGTCAACGCCTAAACTCTTAATGGTAGATCCTCAGTACCGGCGGAGCTGAATAACTTATGGCCTCGAGGGTGCCTTTGTCAAGTTCACATTTGTCGGGATTGACAATAATCCCATAATGCTCAATAGTTCGAAATATGTTCGCTGTTTTTTCAGGTTTTATCGACATAAAAGCTGACAATGAGTATGTCATCTAAATAGGAATAAATACCTTTAGTGCCAAAAGTAACCTCATGGATGGCATGTTGCAAAGTCTGGTCAACGTTGCTAAGACCGAAAGGTATTCTGAATTAATCAGAAAGATCAGATAGAATAAGCACAGTAACGTAAATTATGTCTTCTAGCGCCACAGGTAGTTGATAGCAATAGCGCACTAATTCTGTTTTCCGAAAGAATCATTTACCGGACCAAGCTAACATTATTCAGTGTAAATACGAGATTGAGCAGTTAGCTATGACGGCACTATTGTGTAGTAGATTTTAGCCATCACGGGGGCCCAGTTCCCGGATCTCCTTAGTACCATGTGCCAAAGTAATACCCATGAATTTTCAGGCGGGTGCATGGTTCCAAGTTCGCATAATTAATCAAATTACGCCGCAGTCGCTTTAACTTGCCATGGGCCTGTCTGAGGAGGCAGCTCGAATCAGGTAGATCCCCAGCGCAGATATGGGACATAAAGTCGGACTACGCGGGGAGGTTGTTCTGAATGCAAACGATCATAGGGTGCTGGTCTATAAAATGTTGTGAAACTTGAGGCGCATCACCAATGGGAGTAATCGCGGTAACATTGGCGGTAGTCCCAACAATCCTGAGTTATGTCTGAAGGCCAAATAACGAAAGTATTTAATGTTAAGCATAAGGTCTTACTGTTGGAGTAAATTCATGATAATAGTAAGAATGATAAGTATATTTCTCATGTTGCGTGAAACTGTAACTGAAGCAACACGAAATAATTTGTACCAAAGTATCCATGCACATGCATGGGCGATATGCGTAGGTGGAATGTTGAGGCCTGTGTTTCATGTAGTTACATTCTGGTGGGTGGTTAAGGCGAAGCCTAGCGTTGGCAACCATGGTATTTAGATGTTCTGGCCCCTCTTGGAATAGGTCAGCAAAGGATTTCAATTTGAATATAGTGCTCATGAAATATACCCCAAGGTACTTGGAGAGTTTGCTTTCAAATGTTGCTACATTTTCACATAATCTTCGTGGGATTGGTAATTTTCCACTGATAGCTCTTTCTAACAAGGAAGAAATTAGTGCAATTGTTCGTCCGAACCTTCGGTGTGTTCAATGTAAAAGATTTATTGCGGTGAGCTCGAATTTACCTACATTGAATTCGGGTGTGAACATATCGGGAAAGGTCTTCGTGTGTGACAGGTTAAAAGCAGCAACTACGTGCGCTTCAATCGTTGAACCAAACATGGTTCGAATTGAAGTTCCTTACAACATTCTCGAGAACTCAATGCAGAGTGCTTGCAAATCAGTTGTTAACAAACAACCTCTACAAGTACATCACAGCAATTCTGTGACTCTCATATTGCCATATACTAAGCTGCAATAGTCGTGGATGGGGAGGGTGGGTAACTTGAAAAGCTCAACTTTAGTACGGGTAGTGTGGATTTTGCTGGAAATATTAAATCTATATTGTCTGGCACGTGCTGCTTGGAATTGCATCTGTTCGGAGAAACTGAAGGCAGGTGAGTGCCTACTTCCGTGTGCACACGTGGACGACTGTGTAAGGACTTGTTCTTTGTTTGCTGTGATAGATCCTTCAGGGATGGAGCAGCCGTAAGACATTATGCTTGATTTCTTGGCCGAAAGCTTCATCACTACATGTGACAACATGACACGATATAATCTAAGCCATCTTAAGTGATTAGTAGCATTTTGTGAAGAATGTCAAACCCAAGCTGATAGACAATCTTTCTATCGTCACAAAGTCAAGATGGCCGTCCATGTTCCACAGGTGCGGCCACGTTAATTACCTAGCGCTGAGATATTGAAGAACCGAGCACGATCCCTTAGACGATACCACAAGTGATGGGGCGTGGAGAAGAGCCATAGTCACCTAGATTGAATAACTGATGACAAACAGAATTCATTTCTACTTGCTCTACAATACAGTACGATGGTAGCAAACCTAGTAAAGGGGCCCGGATCCCAAGGACCTACAACTTTTTCAACAACCACTTGTGAAGTATCCGTCGAACGCTTAGTGTACGTCCATAAACAGAATTGCCAACGCATAACCGTCATCGGTCGATTATGTAATGTAGTTCAAGTAATACAGATTGCAGTGGGTACACAATGGTTAGCTAAAAAATCACTTTGTGACTTATTTACCAGGCTTAAAGAATCGACAAAGTTCACCATCTTCTTTCTTCCCAGTTTTGCAACTAGCCAAGCGATTATTGTTGTGATGGATTGGTTGATAGTTATCAATCGTTGGTTTGGGATCTCCTTCATGCCAACGCAAGATAAATGTCGTTTTCCACTGAGCTGGAGAGTAGCTAGATTTCAGCGATAAGGTAAACATGCTCAGCAGGGGCAGTGGTATACCAGGTCCTCCTGGTTTAACAGTGCTTGCTTCAATTGCATCACGCTGGGGGGGCTTAATGGCTTTTATAATTTGGCGCATACTATTGAGCAAGGTTTCAATCCTGATGAAAGGTTTGTTACTGTAACCTATGTGGGCACATGCTCAAGTTCGGCTTCGCTACTTACGGAAAAGACAAAGAATTCACTGAATGGTTCACAGATTGCGGCTGGGCCATATGGTTAGCAATCCACATCGTCAGCAATTTCAGTAACTAGAGCAGAGCACTCACTTGGTCTACGATTCAATATTTTTACAAGCTCCTTCTAATGGCAGCGGCCTCGTAGGTATTCAGAGGTCATTCCTAATGTGTAGTGGGGTTCTAGTACCATTTTATTTGTCAATGTTCACAGTTCCCTCTCAGTCAACAGGCTTTGGCACGTGCAGAAAGCACCATACAGCGCTGTTTTCACCTTCTGGGTCTCGTCAGTAGTGCGCCTTCCTGGGACCCCTGCCGCGTTCCGAGTCCATGGCTTCCCGTTGACAGCAGCTTGTGTCACTAAGCCATAAGTGATGGCCGTGAAGAGTCATGACTGACATCTGACTGCGATATTGCCCAGCTCGTTCTCCACTGCTATATCAGTTATGATCTGGGCCGTGTTAACTACGTATGTTTGAATTTGGTGGTAAATTGGTGCATTTAGAAGCTCAGATAAATTTGTGAGTCATTCTGCATCTTCAGCTAATTTCTGGTTTTCTGGCTACTTGAGTGTGCAAGTGGCATCTTTGAAGACATAAGGAATACGATCACAGCCAACGGTGAATGCTAGCCGTGGGTTACAGAGTGCAGGTCAAATGTAGGGATGTTTGTAATTGTTGCAGTAAAGTTCCAGCTTTTGGCCAATAAGTAAAACAATACCGATTGACGTTACTAACAAGTTAGAGGACGCACGATGCAGCCTGACGTGATGAATAAACAGAGCGCCAAAACAAAGACACTGCTCGACTCAAGTCATCGCTCTTAACACACAACTCATTTCTAACTGAGCACCTACTTGTACAGTAAGTTAGTAATTTTAGCTAGGATTTTACTTAATGTGTTCATACAAACCAGTGGATTCTACAGACTGGTGCACAAGCATTATTGTAGTGCAGGGTTTTCAGCATGGATATTACGCAAAATTTGTAACATCCTTCGGGGCTATTGCAAAGCTGTGACCATCGGATTCTTATAAACTTCATCGGTGGATTCTCAGATAAAGTCTGGATGCGTGGTTACTTTGAAGGGTGCAGTTTTCGAATCCGTGGTTGCACATAATTTAACAACAAACGGCACCTATCTATACCTGATACTTACTTAATGCCTAGCAGTGATAACGCAGTACTTCATTTGCCAATTGCTGTTAAAATAACGTGAAAATATGTTAGGTTCACTTGGTCTCTTAAGCCTGGGTTCATTTAGCTTTATTTTATCAGTTCATTGCCAGTTACTAGGCTAATCAAAAAATTTGTCTTGTTCAGCGAACACTCACGTTTACATCCATAAGCTAATAAACTTATTGACTAGAACTTGAAAAGTATATTTGGATAGTGTAAACGTTAGAAAAACAAAAAACTTTTCAGCTGATAATCCTGCATAAACGACAGTCTGCGTCTCAATTTAACTGTTGTTATAAAAATTAATTGCCACTTTTTTTTTCTTAGACATTACACATTCAACTTCTGTAAATGCTTTAGTTACAGCCCCAAGTTTTGAACAAATTCCGGTGCAGAAGAGTTGGTGAGGAACGAAGTTCTCGGAATGCACGTATCTCAGTTGTCAAGCTGGAACTATCAGCCAAAATTAATGAACCACCTCCACGCAATGACTCCCGTCAATCCGTGGAATATGCTACGATTTTTAATATATCCGATGGTCAATGCGTATATCCTATTCAGATCAGACCCAAAACACCATTCTACGGTAAGCCATTTATTAACAACCTATTAACCGGTAGCATCCTTTTAGAACATCTATCTATTTAAAATTGCTAACAACGCCAGTTATTTTTAATACCATACAGTCTTAATAAGCAATTGAGAAAATATTAATAGTGACTGAGCTTTAGTTCTGAAAGTGCGTATGAGCCAACTCAAGTAACATCGTGAACCGTACTAAAACGTAGGATAATTCACTAAGGCTGCTTCTTGATGGCTCATTAAACAATTATTTGTCTTCGTGAACCAGCGAAAGCTCCTTGACTGCAGCCCACGAACCCTACGATAGCATTCTCTGCAATGGCAGTTAAATGTAGTACGTGCGAGAAGAGAATGGAACTTGCAGTTACAGTAGAAGTGTCGTTTTAGTCAAGGGTAATATCATGACGGGGAATAGAGTGCGACAATAAAACTATTAGTCTGAAGACGGAAATCGTTCAGGGAAATAGAAGGGTATTGTGGCGCCAAATCAGAACACATCTGACTGATGCCAAATGTATGAACTTAATTTTGTCTGACCCTTGTCTGCTGTATGTCTAAGCACACTATAGCTCTAAGTGTTTAAGCGCTCCCCGCTCTACTCCCATCGGGGTGTAGTTTGCACAATTTAAGGGGAGAGCAGCCGTTTAGCAGACAACCTAGCAGGACTAATTACCTAAGGCAATTTTGGAAAGACTTTTCCTGTTAACTCACGGAAATTTCCGGTCAGCACACTTCGAACTCTACTGCTGTGCTTTATTAATTCGCAAAACAATGAAATGTTGGAACTAAGTCCGGTCCTCTGACTCTTTGTCTACAAATCTGTGCCGATCAAGACGGTGTGAGCGATCTTAGGTGCAGCATTCCACGGGAATCCAAACGAAAGCTGAGAAAAGATTCAGATGGGTAGTGTTAAGAGGATTGCGAAAAACAGCATACTGCCATCGTTGTATCCGAACCCTGCCGCTCGCGGCGAGTTTCTGGTTGCATAACTAAGCAAATAACCGCAAAACCAACTTGTTTGGGCAGAGGTAGGAGTAATTCATGCAGACTATTATCTTAACAGAGGAAATTTGCTCTGAATAGCAAAACAGAACACGATCACTTGTTTGGGCAGTAACCAAAAAGCATGCTTTTTCCAGAACTTACTTATGATACATTAACCTTTGTTGGGATGTTCAAAAATCATCAAAATCTTAAAAGAAACCCAGTTTGTTTGTAACTAATAGCGCTATTGCCCAAGGCTTACAAGGGAGATAAACAGCAACAAACACTTGGTCGAGAAAAATGGCCCATGTTTATATGACTTCAACTAAGATAGATTTCGATTTACTTGCAACGGATATTTCGCTTCATCTAAAGATGCGTACACACCTTAAAACTCCGCGAGGAATACAATAAAGTCCTTGCGCTTGTGGTGGCTATCCATGGAACGTTATGTCAAAGGTTATCTGAAGATCAACGGACGGCATGTCCAGGAAATGACTGCTGTACATAATAACAAGCCATATTCTACGGGCCGCAAATAAACAAACAAACAACTTTTATCCTCACTGTGTCCAACTTCCCAATTCTTGACCTTCCGTCATCTTGTAAAAATGGCCGCTGCCCTTCGTAACCCCCTGAAGTTATTCCGTCTGAAACGCGAAGCGGGCAGAAGGAGACCTGGTGTTAGCGAGACCTCAGTCTGTATGGCATATGGTTGAACGATTTGAAAAACAACTGTTTTAACGAGAATTATCAGTTTCTTCATCTGCCTATGTCCACTCTTATCCGTGTGTCTTGCATCTAGACCAAAATTCACTTGCTAAAAAGGGAAAGTGGGATAGGACCTTAGTAAGTAACTACGGCCACATAAATAGTTAGTATTCCTTTGACTATCTTCAAATGATGAGCACCTTCTCTTATAGAAGAATTACACAAGTTAACCAGCGAAACTGCGGAAGCAGATAAGTTTCCCACGGACTATAGACACCCCGTTAGAGTCAATATTTTTAAGGGGGGGGGCTCATGTTCGGAATGCGTCAATCATGGAGGAAGCATTTTGAGGTTTGTCGCCACCAAGTTAGTTGCTCCTGTCATCCTTCACACATTGACCGGTACACATAAAAACTAGATACTTAAGGATAAAGCCGGGTTTCCTCTACGTCGGAACCACATTAACAACAAGTTCACTGTACATCAATTGTTGGAGCCCAACCACATATACTGGTGCCCACCGTTGTCTTGTTCCTCAACAAAAATGATGCCCTTTGGGACAGCCTGGAAAGGAAAGGTTTGTCTGAACAACAGGTGAATATTATCCGTGGGCTTTATACGCGTACGTTGGGCAGATTTGAGGCTTCTGGCAATGTGTCGCATTCCCTTCAGGATCTCCAGCGGTGGGAGACAAGAACGTCTGACGTCACGTTGCCTCTTCAGCTACTGTACTGATGAATTCATGGGGATTGTGTTTACATCACACGACTTAGAAGTTGTGGTGCTGTTCCCACGAGAAGGACTTATAGACTTGGAGTATGCTGATGACATCGCCCTCATTGGTGGTAGCTCCCAAACGTCCCAAGCCGCACTAGTCATTTCAGCACTAGTTAACCGCCGTTTCGGACTTTGCTTTACACCCTCAAAGTGCAAAGCTTTCCTCCAAGATTGGCAGTAACCGTCTCCTGCACTTACCCTTGGTGGAGACCAGCTAGAAGTCGCTGAAAAATTCAACTACATGTGTAGTTGTATCAGCGCTTGTGGAATCGAAGACAAGGTCACCAACTGTGTATCAAAGGCTTTAAGCAATCTTGCTAACTTTCGCCATCTATGGCACTTGCTCGAACTCAATATATTTCTGAAGCGCAGAGTGTTCAGTCCGGCCGTAGGTCCAACTCCACTAAACATTTGTAAAACAGGGTCCATGAACATAAAGAGGTCAGTTACGTTCGAGCAACGGTGCCTTCGTAGTTTGGCGCATTGCCAGTGGGAACACTGTGTAAGCAATGAACATGCTCGACTCCTGGTTTATGACATGGGAAGAGGAAGTAAACTGCTCAGCACAGTTGTTTCACGCACCAGGCTCCGATGGCTGGGCCACGTGTTAGCATGCCAACCCACTAGCTCCCGCTACGTGTGGGGTTTGCGCCGGGGATTTGGATGAAAAGAAAGGAGTGGTGGCTAAATGATGACATGGTGGTTGGGAGACTCTGTGTTCTCTGGAACACTGTTAGCGGAATAAACTTATTAAGATAACTAAGAACCGACCTCATTGGCGTTCGTGTTTTGTGGGTGGTTTTACTTCCCAGCTGCTAAACTCCCAGCTACAACCAATATCTCATCTCCTAGGCATAATATAGCGTTTTATGCACAATATTTAGCTAGTAGATCTTCAGCAAGATGTGTATCCGTTACTGTTGGCTCAGACGGTATGTCACTGTTAAATGTTACATTCTTACCCTCCTATTTAAGTATATATTACGGTATAATAGTTGAGATGCAATCCAGCTCTATCGTATATGTATACTGCCAAATCTCCTATTCGCCTAATGCAGGCAAATCTGCCATGGCGACTACCTGTCTAGGCCGACCAGTCAAAAATATCCCCAACGATTTTCTTACAGTTTCTCATCGGTCTTAACTTGTCTGTGGAGTCCACCTGACTAATGCAACCATGAAGAAGCTTTTCGGGTCCAAAGGCATTCTAGCATCTGACCAAGGCGACCAACACTAGCACAGCTGACCGCAATTGCGAGTAGAGGTGTCACCAAAGCTTCCACCGTATCGCATAGATGGCATAGATTTCGTTTCAAGGTGTCACACTTGACCCAGAAACCACATCAAATGCCTCTATTATAATGTCGATCTATAACACAACGCCATCCGAACGGAAAGCAAGAACACCGAGCTGGGACGAACTGTATTAAAAGATGGACCTAACTGAGCAATTGGGAATGCACAAAGATCAATCTATCAGCCAACCACATGCAAGGACAGTCATGAATGGTGAGCGGTCTAACACTGAACGACTGTCGCGCGTGCGTCCAACACAATCACGTGACAGGACAGTCATGAATGTCAAACGATCTAAATGCACACGGCTGTTAAGCGCGAGCCCATCTAATACCTCCGTTTGATTCGTATGAGTCTAGTCTTGGATTAACCTCGACTCTAGGCACTGGGCCTCTGATACGCGTTGAGTAGCTTCGATCTGACGTTATCTTTTCTGTTAGCACGACAGGCTCTTCCCGCGCCGTAATTCGTTACGTACCCAGCAAAAGGTCGAATAGTAGTGAAACTTTGTTTTTGGGGCGCCCTTGCACTTTGTTACTTAACACTACGTCTCCATCCTTCACCTGCAGTTTACCATGGAATTATTTGTTGTTAACTGTGTGTGCTGTGAATCTAAGAGGATCGCTGGACTGCAGCGAAGCAAACGATAAGTCCTTATTTTCATATTTAAAGTATTAACTATTTTACTATCCTTATCATCATTATTGTTATGTTGATATCCCCAGCAACTATCCAACGGGACATGTAAAGCAAGGCTTCTTAACCCGTATAAATTCATTGTTCATTGTTCATTGAAAACAAGGTCTGATATGGTTTACATGTCCGACCATATTATGGAATTCAGTTGTATTCTGTACAAAACACTTGAAACCCGTTCGACAACTCGGCCAGGAATCCAGGAAGACCTACTATCACAAAAAACCTTTACGTACACACTATCACCAGGCACGAAATGCTGGGGGCGCTCTCCATGAAGGCGATTAAATGCCAACTCTATTTGAACATTGCGCTATCCCTTGTGTAGCGATGGCTTCCAAGCATCAATTACCGCGCTGACACGGCTACAGAGAAACGCTTCAGATAGAGGTTTGATTTCATGGACTGCTGGAGCTAACGTCATGCGGAAAATCTGCAAAACGTTGTCCATGGTTTCCTGGATATTCCCCTCTTCCTGTATCTAATCAATGTTTGCTGAAACATAGCGACAAAACGTTCAACCTACGCCTTTGACTGTGGATGGTAAGCTGGAATGCGAAGATGTCCGATGCCATATGAGTTGCAAAAGTCTGTGCATTCTTGAGAAGTGAATTTGGAACTATTATCCAAAACAAGCATGTTGGAACACCGAACTCTGAGATGTGATGGCGTAGGTGTAACAAAACAGTGGTTGCGTATCCCAATTGAAAAATATCGATCCAGTTAGAGCGAAAATCAACAATTACCAGATAGTGGAAATTGTTCAGGAGTCCGACCAAATCAATGCAATTGCTAGACAATGGTCCACTTGGAGTTTGCCGAGAAGGAAGCTCACATTTGACAGGTAGCTTTGTTGCCAAATCACAGCCGTGAGAGTAACGAACAATATTTTCAATATCCTCCTCCACGAGTGGCCAATAAGCATGGCTGGGGACTGTGGATTTTATACGTTTGATTCTCGGGTGACCTTCGGGGAACTATCTGAGAACCTTCTGTAGAACCTTGCAAATTGTAACGCGATCAGAAATATCAAACAACCAACAATCGTAGTTAAGATCAACTTCCCTATATGATACTGCTCACAACTGATGTCCGAGTGACGTGCAGACCAACCAGTGTCAATGGTACCCTATAATCCATTGTAGCAGGGGATCTTCTGCTGTTTCTACTCCGTCTGCGTCCATTGTTACTAGAAGTTGACGTATGAATGTTTGATAGACTTGTCTAATCTCTGCATCTATGATAATGCTGTAGACAACGATGTGTTAATCCAGTGTCTTAGAGGTTCAGTGGACAATCAGTCTGGATAACGCGTCAACATGACCAAGCAAAGAGACACTTTTAAACCGCAACTCGAAATGGTAAGCTAATAGGACGGTTGCCCAAGGTTATAATGGGTTCGCCGTGTAAACGAAGATACCTCGTTTGGTGAGAAAAATAGATAGTAAAGATTTATGGTATAAGGTAAATTTGCGTCCATGTACAATTTGTTGAAATTTCTTCACGGCAAAAACGTGAGCTAGTCCTTCATGTACTATTTGATTATAATTCTTTTCTACAATTATCAACAGTGAAAATTATTGCTAACACTGGGTCTAATAAATTAAAAGAAGATCGGAGGACAAGATTGTGTGGTCACACACCACAGAGTGGGCTGGGGGGGGGGGCGTGGGGGCCTGGGGGGGGCGGAGAGGGGGGAGGGGGGGGGGGGGGGGGGGGGTGGGGGGGGTGATATCACTGCGGCGGAGAGTGGGGAGGGCCGAGAGGAGGGGGTCCGCATCACACAAGATTATCGATGCGTGATGTTCTTCTAGGATCAAGATGGGGTTTATGATAATCACATATATACATCACTAATTGGGAGTTTTCTTGGGGGGGGGGGGGGGGGACACGGGGGCAGGGGGGGGGGGGGGGGGGTGCGCGGAGCCCGGGTGCCAAAAGGGGTGTTGATTAGCTATAGTAGTAATCTCTCTTTATGGGGGTGAGCACAGACAACACCACATCGGGAAGGAGAAGCTTGGCATACTGTATGGGGGGTGGAGGTGGGGGGGGGGGTAAATATTAAGGGGGGTGGTGGGGGGGGGGGGGGGGGGGGGGGGGGGGGGGGGGGGGGGGGGGGGGGGGGGGCGGGGGGGGGGTGTGGGGGGTGGGGGGGGGGGGGGGGGGGGTGGGGGGGAAAGGGGGGGGGAGGGGGGGGGAAGGGGGGTGGGGAGGGGGGGGGGGGGGGGGGGGGGGGGTAGCAGGAAATGGGGGTAAGGTATGATTTGGAGAAAAGGTAGAGTGATAATGGGAATAAAGGAAGTGAATTATAGTTTAGAAACGTGTGCGTGTTGAATCTATTGAATGGTGGGTGGGTTGAGATGGGGGATGGGGATGAGTGTGGGGGAGGGGGTATGGAGTGGGGGGGGGGGTTGGGGGGGGGGAGGGGGGATGTGTTAGTGTTGATAAAGGGGGGTGGGGATAGTGGGGGGGGGGGGGGGTGGATAGGGGGATATGTTTTTCTCTATCTACATGGTGTTGGGTGTAAAATGAAGCTACTGGAGATATATATAATTATATATAGGGAGGAAATGGTGTGATGAGATTTAAGTGGTAATACATGTTGTATAGGGGGTTGGGGTGTTGGGGGATTTTGTGTGTTGGGGGTGGTGTGGGGGTGGGTGGGGGGGGGTGGTATAGTTTAAAAATTGAGGAGTGTATTTTTGAATGAGGTTGTGGGTTGAGGGTGGGGGGTTGGATTGTTGGGGTTCTTGGTAGATGGAGTGGTTATGGGTGGTGTAGGAGGGGGGGTTATTGAGGTTTTTGTTGGGGGTGGGATTGAGGGTGTTGATGGTTTTTGTTGGGGTTATTGTGGATTTAGGGTATGGTGAGGGGAGTGTATGTATTGTTAGTGAAAATATGGTGGGGTGTATATGGTTAGTGATAGGAGGTGTTAGGGGGATGGGTTGGTGGGTATGAAGAGGGATGACATAAGAGGATGTTGGGAGTTAGGTGGGGCGGGTATTTTGTAAGGGCTGGTATTGGGGTTAAGGTAGAAAATATGCTTAGAACGAGGGTGATATTCATTCAGGGGAAAATGATGTGGTCGTGGTGAAAAGGAGGTGAAATGGTAGGTAAGGGTTTGTTAGGGGCGTTGGGTTGGGTGGGAATTTTTGTGTTGTTAGGTGGGTGGGGTATAATAAAATGAAGGGGGTTGGGATAGGGGGTTAATGTGAGTTGAAGTAGGGCTACTAGTTTCCAATGAGCTTAGGGAGAATTGGGGGGAAGAGGACAACGGTTCCATGTATATATTAGTTTTGATTTTAGTGATAGTGTAATGTTTTGGGTGTTGGTTAAAAGAAGGTTATTTGATTAGTGGAGGGGGGGGTTTTTGGGGTATGGGGGGGGGGAGAGGTTATGGTAAAGTGGTGATGTTATTGAAGTATAAAGGGGGGTATATAAGACGTGTGTAACGTGAATCAAATATATACAATAGGGACTACCAAAGCCGGTCTGTAAGGATGATAAGTATTGCCTTGTAGGTGACCCTCTGGCTAGGGGGGGTGAATGATGTTGAGGGAGGTGGAGGGTGGTAGAGGGGTTTGGGAGGTGTTGTATGTAGTTTTATGATATATTCATCACAACCTAGGCGATTGTATGACACGTCGTACAATCCCAGGGCTTTCAGTCGCCTATGGCATTCTAGGTGAGACAGTCCCATCACATTTTGCCTTTCCCAGTTGCTGTACGGTCTCCAGTGCAACCAGGGTTGCCAAGCCTGGATCACGCATACTCTACCTGGGGCCTCAAACAAGCATTGAGCATTTAGCGGAAGACGAAGTAGTCGAACCTCCCGAACGCCCTCCTTAAGAGAGCAACATGTTGCTTAGCGGTTTTGTACGCCTACAAGAACTCCGCCGAACAGCAGAGTTCGTCTTGGATCACCAACTCAAAGTCACGCTCTTGTGAGATGGTTTTCGGAACGGCTAGCGGACAGTGGACCAGGCGATAGCAGTGACTCAGACATATGTGCTGCATCCGACAGAATAGCAAAATTGCCCGAAATATATTCTGACTACACAGCTCGACACTTTTTAATTTAGATGAAACTGGTTTGTTATTCAAAGCAACTTTGATAAAACATTTTTCGTCAAAGGAACGAAATATGCAGATAGGAAAATAAGCAAAGAGCATCTCACGTTTTGCGGTTGGAGGAAAAACCGGCATTATTGATTTGGAAACCAGCCAACTCTCGAATTTTTAAATACCTCAGTATGAACAGGCTATCGGTACTTTACAGGAAGAATAGAAAGACATGGATGACTGCAGCCCTTTTCAAAGTTTGGTTGCAAACTTTTGACCCAAACTGCAGAAAGAATAGCACTAGCATGCTATTTGTTGACAATGCCACGCCATCGTAAATTTGAGCTACTCAATGTCGAATTGCAGTTCCTGCCACCCAATAACATCGCGTTAGTTCAACGCTTCGACCAGGATGTCATTCCGGCACTTAAAATGGAGTTGAGGAGTTTATTGCGATCACCGAATACCACAAAGATGTGTCCGGAATTGAACTCATGAAACGAGTAAATTTAATGCACGTCATGTTCTGGATAACTGCCACATGGAACGAGGTGGAGAACTCAACAATTGCTGTTTTTGCAAACTGGGGTTTCCTTTTCTTGCAGAAATGGTTTCTAAGACAGGAGTGTAAAATGTGTCTGAGAAATATAGACAAACTGTACCATTGTACAACCTCCACTGCTTCGGATACTCTTTCAAAGCAAATGTTTGGATGCTAACTGGCTGACAGCCATGTGGTTGTTTCTTATCTCCAAACCTATAACATAACAGACATGAACTGGAACCTGTCTGCCAAGTCAAGCTTAACAGCTGTGCTTGTGAATAGTGAAGCAGACGACGAGCAGGAACAACATTCTAAAGGCGTTCTGAAAAGGAATACATCCACAGACATACAGGGTGCTTTGGATGTTTTGTGCTACCACACAATACATAGCAGATACACTGACATGTTTGAACTTAACATGAACGTAAAGAAAAAGAGAAATTCACCTTTCATCTCAACTGCCAAGCAGCAGACCACTATACTTGATCTTTTTCCTCCGGTGGAAAATGCTTATGATAAAGGAACTGTGGATTTATGATTTTTTCAAATCTTGTGGATTTCGGTGATTTTCAGGTTTGTTTTTTAAAACGTTGATTCATATACAGTAAACTTATTGCATTATTATTACTCAAATATCCCACATTATACATCGCTACTGTGGTTGCCTTATTTAGAAGGCAAAACTGATTGTAAAAGCTGTCAGTTTACAGATCTAGTTCAGGATTTGAAGTTTATCACACATGTGGATTCGATCATGAGTAGTGTCGCCAGTGCATGAACCTGTCCTTGGCGACCACCTATCTAAAGGGACCACCATTTGCCGGTCTCTTGAGTGGTCGCCTTGGTAAGGTTTGACCATACCACATAGAATTAGTTGTACTATTGCTTGGTCTAGCACAATTAAGTATCATTAATTGTAAAACATTGTTAACTTAGCACTTCGGATGCAATTATTTGAAGAATGAACTTATTGTGGCCTTTGTACTAATCTCATGGTCCTTTCTACCTTCCACCAAAATTAAACTCTAACTGGGTTGCTTTATTCAAAATAGCACTTAAATCCAATTCCTCCTAGGTCTTTTTAAGATGGCAAGAATGAACAGAATTTTTACGGGATAATCTGAATTCAGATCATTTCGTGTCTTCCCATTCAGTTGCTTATAGACAATTTGTGGGAAGAGCAAAAAAATGGATTTGAAAAAGGGTCAATAAAAAAATCAATAAAACACTGAGAAAAGCAAGCTCATTGCCTGCGTGTTACCAGAGCAAGACAAGACTGTCCACAAGTCTACCTGTTTGCAAAGGTTTGCTTTCATTCATAGGATGGCAGTGTCCTCAGCGAATCGAAGCCAGCTCGCGTGGTTTTGTCTGCTGATAACCTTGTAAACGTCACGTGGGTTTTCGCACAATGTACAATCAAGCAAATGCTGAGCGACTGAGCTGGTAGGGAGCTTAGGTTCACTGTTTGCCAGGTTCCGTGGTAAAGGTTCCATGATTCTTGCACATAGTGGACCTAAACTCAAGCGCTCAACGTCTGCTCAATTGCAGCTTGTGCGAAAACCCACGTGACGCATTCAAGGATATCAGCAGACAAAACAACGCCAGCTTGCTTCGTTTCGCTTAGGTCTCTGTCATCCGACGAATGAAACCAAACCTTTGTAAACAGGTAGACCTTATGGTCAGTCTTGTCTTGCTCTGTTAAGACGCAGGCCATGACCTTGATGTTCTCAGGGTTTTACTGGTTTTCATTATGATCCTTTTTCAAATTCATTCCTTTACTCTTCCCACAAATTGTCTTTCAGCAACTGAATGTAAGACACGAAATAAGCTAAATTCAGGTTATCCCGTAAAGTGTTTTTCGTTCTTGTTCTCTTAAAAGTTCTGAAGAGAAATGGCTGCATGAAATTCCAATAGGTCGCCGTTAGCGCCAAATTATTACTGACAGTCTCTGCAGTTTTGTGTGATATATATATATATATGTATATATATATATATCCTCCGGTATTCCTTTTCCGGTGCTTTCAGCAGTCCTTAAGAAAAGTAGCCTGAATTCCAAATCATACCCGGAAGACGTAAGACCAAAACAACTTCCGAAAACTTGATAAATGAAAGTAAATACATGCGAACATTATTCAATAAATCCTCTTCAGCCTTATACAATTTATGTGAAAAAGAAACAGAATGTTTGACACAAGGTAAAGGTTGATAGGACAAATTTAGTTCATAATCACTGATCAAGTACCACCACTATCCGTTAGGTCATAAATGTGGCGTTCTCTCCATTTCGTGATCAGGATGTTGCAGTCCGGTTAACGTCTGAACGAGCAGTTTCTGAACACGCAACTCCGTCTCGTATAATCGAATCGCGATAGCCTCCGCGGATTCAAGCCAACGCTAACCAGCGCACTTTGGTCGATATCTGGGGTTTGATAGATCACCTGAATGACTTAGCCAAGTTGGTGGCGTAACCAATGTCGGCAAGATGCGTGGTTATGTATGAGTTGGTTTGTTTTCGACAAGCGGTCATGAGCCAAGCCGGATGTTGTTCTTTCACCCTTCCAGAGAGGCGCCTCGTTTTTCGGCCTATCTACCCAACCCCAGAGGAATGGGAGAAAAATTAGCTACACATTGATT